GTCCTATCCACTTCCAGCGCTTCTTCCTGATTTCTTCCTCCACCAGGATCTGGTTTGTTCTTTCCAACAGTTAGTTGTTGCTAATAATATCCGGCCAACGGATCCTAAGTATTTTGCATGGGCAACTGTTGATAAACACCTTTATCTTCTGGATGATGGCTTCCGTAGTTCTCCAGGTTTCCGCCCCATTTAATTTTTGGTATTTGTTTAAATGGTTGATCAAATATCAGCAAGAAACTTTCTTTCAATAATTATGAAGATATTGTTTGTAACATAATTTATGGTTGTCAATGATATGTTGTTAGTAACACGCCTTTTTTAACTCAATATTCAGTAAAAAAAAAACTAACACAGTTACAAAAAACAACAACAGACAATCTGACTTATTTGTGCATCAATTTAGGCTGTTACATTTAGAATAGTAAATTCAACTTAACTAAATAAGAGAAAATCTATAAACTGTTTATTATTCTATAGGTATCAATGGCGCGGGTCGGACTTGATAGTAACATAGAAATTGAATATTAGGTAGAAAGTTAATAATGAATATGTTTTTTGTTGTTGATATTCTAATGAGTAGGAAATTGTATTTCTGATGTTTAATGACTTAATATAAGTCACTTCTTCATAGTTTCATTGGGCTTTACATAAAAATCACTTACATTCTAATTATTAGGAATAATGAATGAATATTTTGTTTTACAATGCAATAAACACATTGAAGTTTTATAGACATTTGTAGACGGCATATTATGTCATTCCAATTTTGACTAATAGAGAAATTGTCAACAATTATTGTATGTTTGTTTGTAAGTTTATAATTGATGTAACATGCAACTAAGGAACTATTACGCATAAATACTGAATGAATAAAATAATAGATTCAAGAGACAGAATAACTAGTAGAAAGAAGTTAGTTATTAAGAAATTAACTAATTAATGTACAAAATGAAAATAGAGAATTAATCATGATTAAAATGCATTTAAGATAAATGAGTGTAAGATGTTTGCTTATCAAACTTCAATCTTTCCAGACATATTATTTACAAAGAAGGTTATTGGCAAGTATTTTTTTTAAAAATACATTTCGGTTCAATAGGCACATATGTTTTATTTTTCCCAGTCGAAAAAGTCATCTTTTTGGAAATATACGTTTTTGACTGACTAAAATATATATGTTCAATGATTACGTTTAAAGGATGAATAGCGATCAGTTTTAAAACATCAAGACAGACTTAGACATAAGTATTCGATGTAGTAGTAAGATAAGGTGTTGGTGACTATATGAAATATTGAAATTACCGTAGTTTACAGCAAAAAACTCTAAATTTATATTATAAAAATAGAATTTAGAGTTTAAGTTTACTTGATATTGTTTACATGAATATTCCCATTGATGATTGTGACTGCAATTGATCAGTCTATTATTGGCATATGTTCATACTCTGCATATTGCCTCGATAGTGCCTTAATTCACAAGTATTATAAGCAAAGATAGATGGTGGCTAGTTGTGGAATCCAGGACAAGCGTTTCGTCCTATTTGAGACTCGTCAACTGGATGTGCTTGCATCTCAGAATTGATGTTCACTCTGGGATTGGAACCCAGTACCGTTCTCTCCAAATGCCATCACGTTATTCACTTAGCTACTAAGTCCAATAAGAGACTGATCAATATGGGTCCTAATCATCAATGGGAATATTCAAGTAAACAATATCAAGTGAATTCAAACTTCACATTATTGCACATGCAAGTGGCTAGCACTACTCACTAGCTGAGTGGATAACGTGATGGGGTTTGAAGTGAATGTAACTGGTTCTGAGTCCTAGAGTGAACATCAACTTTGGGATGCAGGTACATCCAGTTAATAAGTCCCTAATAGGACGAATCGCTTGTCCTGTATTCCCCTGCTAGCCACCATCCATCTTCGCTCAAAAGAATTTGGAGTTATTCATTTTTTAATTCAGCGAAAAATATTTTGTTTTCGACGAAATCTTTTACTTAAGCTGTACATTCATATTGATATTTTGTACAGAAAATATATCTTTATAGAAGAATAGAAAAGATTGGACCATAAGTTAATCATAGATTCTTATTATCGAATGAGGTTACGCAATAATCAAGGGGTAAGGAAGGAATATAAAGATGAAACTAATTTACGGGTCAAATAATTGTCCAATTGGCAGATAAGAAGAAAAACGACAAACATAAAGGTCATAATAAAAATTGAATAATAATCAAGAAAACTTGTTTAAAGGTAATAACCATAACTGATTAGAGTTTAAAACTACGAAATAATAATCTAAAAAATAACCAAATGAAAATGAAGAAAAAAAACCCGAACATACCAATATAGGGAATCAGGGCCAAGGAATGTTGAGAGGTTAGACGAATCGTTCTGCATGCAAAGTTCGGGCTTGAGTTCGTGGATTGATAATGCCTCATCAGTGCATAAAATATTGATTCGACTTCTCTTTGATCCAATTTTTTTGATTGTGTAAATTACTTTAAAAGAAGACTCCTTTAGAGCGATGTGTCCACAGTTGATTAAATGTTCCTGTATTGAACTGGTAATTGTATTGCATTCTCCTTTTAAAAGCCATGCCTGATAATGTTCTGAGAAGCGTTTGGAAAGTGATCGTTTTGTGTGGTCGATGTTACCTGACCCATATGAGCAAGTAAATTTATAGATGCACATTGATGTGGCTCAAAGCAGAAGCATATCTTTAACACATTGATGAATGGTAGGTCGGTTTGAGAAAACAATTCGGAGCTTAGCTGAGTAGAACGACTTTAAAATCCGTTTATTTAAGATGTCAGTAGCCGTATCTTCTTCAAATTCCATATTTATAAAAAGTTTTCTTTTGTACTGTCGATAATAAGATTCTCGAATCAATTTATGATCCAATCTTTCCTATGCTTCTATAGACATATATTTTCCATATAACTATCATTATGAATGTACAGCTTAAGTAAATGATTTCGTTGAAAAGAAAATTTTCTTCACTGAATTTTCTTTATTTTTCAAGAGAATGATGTCTTGAAGCTTTATGAGGTACTTTGAAAACCCAACTTACTAGAAGTCTTTCCTAGGACCTTAAAGTAACCAGTAATATTTATAGTAACTTGTGTTTAAAAAATAAATTATGTTCTTGTAGAGTCCTTCACATACCTAGGAAGCATCATCGATGAACAAGGAGGTTCAGATGTAGACGTAAAGGTAAGGATTGGCAAAGCAAGGACAGCATTCCTACAATTAAAGAACATATGGAACTCAAAACAACTTTCAACCAATATCAGAGTGAGAATCTTCAATACGAATGTCAAGGCAGTTCTACTGTATGGAGCTGAAACTTGGAGAACTACAACAACCACCATCAAGAAGGTACAAGTATTTATAAATAGCTGTCTACGCAAGATAGTCAACATCCATTGGCCGGATACCATCAGCAATAGCCTTCTGTGGGAGAGAACAAACCAACTTCCAGCTGAAGAAGAAATTAGGAAAAGACGATGGAAATGGATAGGACATACATTACGCAAATCGTCAAACTGCATCACGAGGCAAGCGCTAACTTGGAATCCTGAAGGGAAGCGAAAAAGAGGAAGGCCAAAGAACACATTGCATCGGATAATAGAAGCAGATATGAAAACGATGAATTACAACTGGACGGAGCTAGAAAGGATTTCCCAGGACAGGGTTGGATGGAGAATGCTGGTGAACGGCCTATGCTCCTTCACGAGGAGTAACAGGCGTAAGTAAGTAAGTAAGTAACTACTGATTTAAATCAATCGACCTATTTTTAAAAGTAGAGTTTCTAGTATCGTTTTGTTAGACTATTATAGAAATGATCTCATTGGATTTTTGAAGTGATTATACTTAGTTTACTAACATAGTTCTAAGTTCCATCTAAGATTTCATGTGTTTCATGAACATCATTATCATTACATATATGACTATGCATAAGACGCGTGTAAGCAACGATATAATTACTAGAAAAACTTTTAATTACTCAGTAATTTTCTATTTTTTTACTAATATTTTAAACAGAACTTTAAAAGTATATTGAAAGAGATTTTCCATTTTACTTTTAATGTAGATAAAATTAGTTGTACAGTCTAAGTTTTAAAAACAGAATCAAGGCAAGAACTTTTTTTAATATCTAACACGTTGCTAGTATTTAGATTAGATGGTGGTTGGAAGTAGTCGACAGGAAACCCTGGACCTGAGTTTCGTGCTACTTTGCACTCGTCAGCAAGGTGTACCTGTAGTCTTGAGGGAACTGGTGCTGCCTGGTGGAGTCACCTAGACTAGTGGCCACATTGCAACCTGGTCGATAGCATTCGATCTGCACTAAATAATGACTTGACACACGTAACATTGATCACCACCCAGTGATCAATCGATTGTGACGTTGCCGCTATATTATTCAATTTATGTCATAAACATATTTGGTTTGAATTAGCTTATAACTATATATTCTTTCATTAACTGGCCATCAGTTTTTCAGTCTGTTAACAAAATTATCAGATAATTTAATCAACAATTCTTTTCTTAAGTATATGTATATTATTGATAGGCATTTTCTTAATACTTCTATCTGAAAACAAATCTTTAAATATATAAGGTTTTCTTCTATATTTAATCAGAAGTTGATTATGGTCTATCATTCAAACACTCAGTCTACATATATAATCTTAAGTTATCTATCTTAATCTTACCCTTATCCTTCAGCCATTAATATCTGTATCACCATCAACATAATCGCTATCGTCATCATCACCAGCAGCAGGATATTATACTAGAAATAAAAGTCTAGTTCAGTTGATAAATGCATTTTGTTATGTACATAAAAAATATGCATATGTATACAGATCTAAAAGAATAATCTATTGTTGATTTTAATTGTTTTTGTTTTAATAAATTAGGGCGAAGTAATGAATTGAAAAGGAAATAAATAAAAATATATAAATATATTCTAAATTATTATGATTTCATGACTAGATCTGATAATCTGTTATTTTATCGTTTATAGAATCTTCAATTAAAGGTTCTAACTGTGGAGTGTTTGGTGTAATATCTTTATTGTTATCATTATTATTATGCGTTGGGAATTCCAACTCATCAATTTGTTCATGATTAGTAGTATTTAAGTAATCATAACCATTTGTATAATGATTCAAGGATGAAGTTGTTGATTCTGTAAATGTTGTAGTCTTTGATGAAGGTAATTTGTGTACAGTGATACTTTCACGTGGTTCCAAATTCCAAAATGCTGTATATATACGTTTAATTTTTGGTGTGCTAATTAATGAACCAAATGGATTATTGCATAAATCATGACCATTTGTTGTAAATTTACTTAAGTTACCTTTACATTCCAATGTATTGATTTTGGAATTATTGTAAGATTGAGTACCAGGTGACTGATGTAAATTATGATGTAGTATATGGTGATGTTCAATTTTCGGATTATTCACTAATATATGACCTTCAGGTGTAACACGAAGATATTTTTGTAGTTTTCTTGTTTGTTTAATATAACGTAGACGACAATCACGATAACTTGAACTGAAATTGGATTTTCCATGTGAACATAAAGAAAAAGCAGAAGTGGACTTTTCAAAATATGGCCATCCAAAATCTCTTATTGTATTCATCAATAATGTAGTATCATAATTTGTTGATATATCTGATTGCATTGTATCTGCTGAAGCTATATTCTGTGAATCAGTATTAGAAGTTAGTGTATTATGAAACTCCCTGCAAAGTAATGGATATGATAAAGAGTTTGACATATTATACAAATTTTGGAATGAAGTATCATTATTAGTGTCATTTTCTGAATGTAAATATTCATTACCATAATTTGTGTGATTACATAATGAACAATTTCCCATTGAGTATTCTGGACAATAATGTGAAGTATTATTATTATTATTATTATTGTTATTAGATTGATACATACTTTTCAAAAGTTAGTTTTAAATTCCCTTTAGCAAACAACAATTCTTTCTATGATGAATCTCGATAGATTACATCATATATTAGGAGAGTTGTTGAAAATAATTCACAATAGGAACATTTCAATTAACTTTAAACAGAATTGAAATAAATATTATCGACTCATCAACATATGGTTTTTTAATTAACCAATGAAAATATTTGGCATAATACAATTAAAAGCTGATTGGTTTATTATAAGTTTTTATTATGATTGGTGACATTAGTCTGTTATCTATTGGTTAATTGAATTAATTTATAAAATATTTCTTTGGTGAAACTATGAATAGATGTAAGTGATGTGTCTATGTATTATACTGGCTTTTCTGTCTAATGTTGGGTGATTAAAGGACAAGTGACCCCAAAAATATTCTACTGTTAGAAGTATAAACGGCTTCTCATTAGAACTCTTAGAATTCCCTCTCAAAACTAGTTGTTAATGAGAACATAATAATTATCAGTATAGGGTTGTGAAGATTGTTGAATTTTAATTGAGATTACGAACCAATCAGTGCTAGACCATCACTGTAAACTTGGAACCACTGAACGGCTGTTTCGTCCTAGTATGTGACTCTACAGAAGTAGGAATATGAAGTCAAGATGAGCTCTTGACACAAGACCTGATGAACTTGCGCTCGATCCCTGGTTCAGTCATGAATGTAAACTACTGAGCAATCTAATAATAAAATGTAACAACTTTCTACTATTTCCTAGTTTTTAATGGTTAATTAACTAACCTCAGGTACTGATGAAAACTGTAAAATTTAAAAATGAACACTAATCCCTTATACCAATAGTAATCGTCTGCTCTGTAATAACTAATTTCTAGAAAAGAATTGTCGGAGTTCTAGTGTAATGACCTGACAAGTTGGGTTCAGCCATGTCGGAGATAACCTAGTGATGACTACATTTATTTATATGGATGAACAGTAATCCTTATTAATCACTGAGTAAGAAGAATATTTAATACAACTTTTGGCATATTGTAACCAGTCACTTCGTTCAGTACTACATTATAGATGCCTAATTTATTAACTCAAATAGGGAGGTTAAAGAGCCCAAGTGAGTGGGACAGTTTAGTTACATGGTTTTAAAATATCCTGACTGAATCTTAATTTAATTCAAATTTTCTGTTAAGAGATCACATTGAATTCAGATATCATATCATCACCGATTGATTCAAGAGTAACTAAAATACTCAAATTTTATTTTTATATTGCAAAATCGATTGACGCATTCTATCAAGTGAAACATTTATAAAGGCAAATTTTAGTACTACTGTACCTTGCTTACTTATGCCTGTTACCACCCACTACCATAGAGGAGCATAGGCCAACCACCAGTACTCTCCATCCAACTCTGTCACAAACAATCATTTCCAATTCTTTACACTTCCTATTCATCCTTTTCATCTCTGCTTACAATTCGCGGTGCAGTATGTTATTCATCCTCTCACTTCTACGTTTCCATTCAGGATTCCATGTCAGCCATTGCTTCATGATGCAGTTTGGTGATTTACTCAGTGTGTGTCCTATCTACTTCTAACGTCTCTTTCTAATTTCCTTCTCAACTGGAATTTTGTTTGTTGTCTTCCACAGTGGACTGTTGTTGATGGTATGCGGCTAATGAACATTGAGTATCTTTTGTAGATAAATGTTTATAAATACTTGTACCTTTTTGATGATGGTCGTGGTATTTCTCCATGGATAAAAAACCCACTAAAACATTATTCTACTCAAACAATAGTAATTAAAAATACTATAATGAATGTTAGAAAGAAATTGAAATATTAAAGACAGAAATAAAATTCAAACAAATAATGACTCAAAGATGTTCACAACTCCCCAATATAATTTCTGAATAAAAACAATCTCTAAGCAAGTTTCTAAAACGCACATAATTGTTATATATTCATGTGAGTTCTTAGCTCGAAATGTAAACTTCATTACTTAGGTATAAATCATCTTAGTTTCCAATGATTGTTTAATTAAGTCCAGTCCGTGATGTAAACTATAAAATTAATATGTTGGTTGATTTTAGATAATTTTACATCTATTGAGTTCAAATGTTTGATAAAAGAATTGTTACAACTTGTGAACCTGTGTGCCCTGTTATTGTATAAGCAACGATACCGCCAGTCAGAGAGCAGCGAGTTGTCGATCAAACCAGTGACACAAAGCACGTGCGAGCAACGTAAAGTCCTTATTGGTCTCGCTTCCCGTCTAGCCCAGCCAGTTTAGTCCAGAACAACAATCTCAGCTTCTGCAATATGAATTATTTATTTCAAACATACTGGGTTTATATGCCAATCAAACAGACAACAACGTACCGATGAAATAGGAAACAACATTTGTACAAGATTTAGTCAAATGTGGCTGTGAATGTGGGAGATAGTAATGGATAGACAGGGCATAATTCAAGAATGGTAAATCGTATAATAATAGTTCATAGGTCAAAATAAAGCTCACAGCAAGAGGGACATGAATATAAATAGTTTGGTTATTTAACAATTAATTATACGATAAAAATATACACATAGTATTGGTCCATAAATGAATCCCAACAGTTACCATTCATCATTCTTATCGGGATATAACAAGAATTATCCATAAAATGTCCAATGTTTTAGTGAAATATCAACTATTTACTCATACACAAACTAGAATTGAATTATGTCAGCCCCAAAATGCATTTCCCACTGCCTACACAAAATACAGTGAAGAAGTACATGAAAGAGGATTACAACAATAAAAAAAATTGATTTATAATGAGATTTGATTTAATAGATAACAATTATTTATAAATTAATAAATCATAACAGACTGTAAAAAAATGGAACTGAGTTAATTTCATTGAATTTTAGATGTCTTCAAATGAAAAGGAAAAAAAAACATGAAAAAACATTGAATATTGTGAATATCAATACTCAACAGGGAGGTAAATGAAAATATACCATATCATTTTACATACATTCATGTTTAAGATGATCGATACCGTGAACAACCAACATAAATAATGTATTTCACTCAATGTGTTAATTTTTATAAAAATATCAAAGTCATCCTTTCATTTCACCTTAAAATGTTCAATAGTCATGTTTACCATAGTGTCCCCTAAGTCATACAGTCATTTACAACGAAAAATCTAGAACAGATCTGTATCGATTCAAGTTGTTACACTATATTAGCAGTGCAGAACAAAACTATTAAGAATGATCCCAGATAAGTAGAAGTGATAATAAGATCAGTGGTTATAGAAAACATTAGTTAGGCGATGGTCAAGCATATGTGATACATGTCCTAACCACCTTATTAGATGAAAATTGATTACCTCATCTATAGACTCACCATCCTTTCCTAATACCTTAACAGAGTTTATATTTACTAAAACATTTTGTTCTTTGAAAAGCTTTTGTTTTTAATTTTATTTTACTCACACTCATTTCCTTACATTCCATTCATTATAGTTATACTAACCAGATTAATATATAAATTGATGTGTTTTAAAGAAAACCATGAATTATTATACTTCTGGTTTATGTTATTGACGTACCTTAGTTTTCTTCAATATATAAAATATATAGGCGCATATGAAGTTTACTCTGTGTAGACATCAGGTGATGTATTAAAGGATATGAAAATTTACGACATAACCTTGAAGGATTTAGTTATTAAGACTTGACACTTACAGTATAGAACGAAAAAATTACTATATAATAAAAAAATAGTCGGATTAGCTCTTGAATCATCCAACATACAAAAATAGTATTATGTCCACCATTAAACAGGGATTGTAGAATGTATGTTGTAATAAACTAATGTTTTAAGATTCGTTATCTAATATAAGAACTAAAAATTCCTTCAATTATTTATATGCAATTTTTTCGTAAACAAGGCAATCATCAGTGTTGTTAAAGGTATGAGAGCGGTTGTCATCTTCTGGTTACCTACACTGTGGAAGAACACATCTCTAAGTATCTGAAAGGAAGCTGGGTTATGTGTAGTCCTGACGATCGGGCAGCATGATCACAGTGCCTAAAGGAATAACTGCGTAAGCTTGGTGAGATACAATCTTACTATGAGTAGTCATTGATGCGTCAGCTCGGTACTTTTGGACCGTCACCGCTGGCTATGAAAATCTGTAAAGTAAGGCTCGTCGTCTTTAGAGGAAACATTTATAAACTTTGTTGTGAGATGGCATTTCTACTTCAGACACTGGTTTTCTGAAGGCACGCTACTATTATTACTCCTCTACACAGATGGCAGTACAACTCCAAACAACCAACATAGCATGGTAAGCCTTAGAAGAACAAATATTTCAGTTAATAAACATCAATTTCGATATCACATTAGATAAACAAGACCATAGTATCAAGGTAGCAAATATTGTTAGAATATAAACTTTGTGATTTTGTTTAACTGTTACATCAATTAAATATCCCACTTTGTTTAAAATACAATTATTCATTTATTCATTATCACTACCTGAATTTTGAATGGTACCAGTTTTTTGATGTATTTCATGATTTTATTAGATTTCATTATGGAATAAATTATCATCATTGAAAATCTGTTCTTAATAGCTTATTGTGTTTAATGTGTACCGCTATATTCATGTGACTGATTTCATTTTGATAAATAACATTAATGAGAAAAGCAGACAGTTGATCATTGTTATCCATGACCTTGAATACTTAATACGAACCTATGAAACAGAACTTTCTGTAACGTTTTATAAGTACCTTACTTATTCAAGGATAACATGAATATTGAATGAAAATGATAATTTACCGAGAAAGAAAAAATATTTTCATTAAAAATATACCATAATTACTACTGATTTTGTCGTATACTGTTCATTATTGGTAAGTTGTGGTCACTAAATGTCTAAAGTTACC